CGGCCATTGCAGGAGAGGGCAAAGAAGGAGGGTAGAAACGCTCCTGATCACTCAATTTATACTAAATATGACGTATGTGGAATGGAATACTCTCGTTGGTCACCTGTTCTGTCTGTTACCCCCCGGACATGCAACCTTTTACTTCCTTGTGACCCCCCTTTACTACCCGGCACCCCCAGCGTGGCACACAAGAGTCAGCAGTGGCCTTGGTCACTGTAGGAATAAGTATAAGCAAGAGCTTGTCTGCATCCCAGTCCCAGGCAGTAACTGTAAACATCAGGTGTTATCACTGCTAGTAGCAGGCACTGTCTACGAAAATATGCTGCTGACTTCAGAAAGTGCAGCCTTTTAGAAGAGACTAAAACTGAAAAGTAAAATCACTAAATAGGACTGGGCTTTAGCTCAAACCCAGGACAATACTCAAATTTACTTTCACAGTTGTTCAGTCCATGAGCTTTAGATGTCATGTTTGAGACCTATGGTTGGACAGGATATGAATGCTTCTGCTTTTCTGCATAAAGTGGAATTTCACTTCCAGGATCACTTGTTCTAAATGATGTAAAACAATTTTCATAAAGAATCACGTAACTGTCCTAAAATTTCTGAAAGCTGGTAATATTTGGTCATCAATGTGTTCAGAAGAAACCAAGCTCTAGGTAATTAACAGAAGCATTTGTCAGCTGCACCAAGTTTAATCAGTTAGGTATTCTTAAAATGTATCAGAAATCAAATCAGGTGCTGCAGTTAGTGGCATTTTGTAACATCATGAAAGCTTCTATAAATCAACCTTATAAATTATATATGACGTTTTCATGGCAGTTTTCCATCTATATACAATAACAGATTGACAGTATTTACAAACTGTTAAAAATTTGTAACATTTTAATATGGTAAAATGCTGTTTAAAAAGGAAGAAGTTGAGACAATTACAGAAGCTTAATTCATATTTTTTCCATCTATCAGTTCTTAGTTGTCACTGTAATGTTAGTGTATTCCTGCAGCTGTAAAATGGACTTTTGACTCACTTTCTAAGCTGATATTTGGATGAATGAATTCACTGCTTGCTCTTTTCCTTGTTGTCATTTAAAGATAGTAATAAATTATTATTTCTTCCATCTATCTTTCTCCAGCAATGACAATGCAGTTCATAAGCCATCGATTCCCCGATTATCATGATCCAACTATAGGTGAGTAAAGATCATTCTCTTCATCTCTTTTAGTCTCTGCTTATTCAGGATTACCCTACAGTGAAACGCTGCTCCTAAGTAAGAGTTACATAGAAGCAAGATTTGTAAATTTTGTATTAAACCTTAATTTTATGATGACGGTTAAATTGTGTCATCATCATATCACAGTTATTTCTTCCTGAAAAGCAAAATTTCTTTCAGCAGTATATTTGGTATCATGCTATATAACTATTAGTTTTTGAGCAATTATAATCACAGAATACAAAACAAACATGTCACAAGATGGAAAGCAGTCATTCAAAATACGAAAATAAAGTAAAAACTCCAGTCTGGAGTGTGTTTTTAAAACTTTTGTTATTTTAGTACTTTTTGCCACTGTGAAATTCTTGGTTGACTTTCTCTAGAAAATTCAGATGACTTCTGAAGTTAATACACTAGAGTTGTGCTCTGGAGTCATGTACTCTGCTAACTCCACTGGGTTTACCTGTCTTATAAACTTAAGTAATGATAAATATTCACATGTGATAGACTGAAATACATTTTAAATGTTGACCATTGCTTGGCTATATATGGCTGGAGTTCAATGGGACAGTCTGAGCTGGAAAAGAGATCTGGAAAAGAGATCTGGAATGAATTCTGATTGGATTTCTATGCCTAAATCAGTTAATTCAAAAAAGCTGTGGCAAAATTTGTGTCTCATTAAAACGTTTCAGATGATTTTACCCCTTCTAAAGGAGGTGATCTTTATCAGTGAATGTCCTGCTGGGACAAAGAGTAATGGTTTCCAACTGAAAGACAAGAGATTTAGATTAGATGTGAGGAAGAAATTCTTTCCTATGAGGGTGGTGAGACATTGGCACAGGCTGACCAGAGGACCTGTGGCAGACACCTCCATGGAAGTGTGCAAGGCCAGTTTGGATGGGGTTTTGAGCAACCTGGTCTAGTGGAAAGTGACCCTGGCCATGGCAATGGGGTTAGAAGAAGATATCTTTAAGGTGCCTTCCAACACAAACCATTCTGTCATTCTGTTGTCCTCCCCATCTCTACTTAGTACTGTTAAGGCCATACCTGGAGTACTATGTCTAGCTGTGGGATTCCACAGTACAGGAGAGCATCAGCACAGTTTGACCAGAGAGCTTGTGGAGTATCCATCTTCGGAGCAGCCTGCTCTAGGTAGGGTTGAGCAGGGGTTTGGAATATGTGGCCTGCAGAAGTCCCTGACAACCTCAACAATTCTATGACTCAAGAATAGTTGTCAAAAGCCTTTTCTTTCCTACTGTTAGGCATCTTTTTGACAGTTCTATAATTATTAATATAAATGAGTGTAGGAAAAAATGTATGTGGCATCCATGTAGAGACCGGTAGAATTGAATGTTTATTCATCTTAAGAGTGGCTTTATTAGTTATTTACTTATGCTAAAAAGATCTTACATTTATGGGAAATGCAAGTGTGTAATATTTAGTTACACCAAGGAGCAGATGGAAGAATCTGGGCCTGGTTAAGTAGGAGGCACTAAAAACATTAACATTTACAAAGACTGCTAACTCCTTAAACCAAAACAATTTTTATCTTTGAAATTTTCAAATATTTCAGACTCAAGTTTAACCTCTATAAAATAACTGTATTTTTAAGTAGAATTGATATTTTTCAGTATTTATTTTAATTTATTATATCTATTGTATTCTATCTATCCTGCATAGTAACTTCTGGTAAACTGTGGTATTTTAGTGATGAAAAGAAAATATGCATAAACTGTTCACATCACTAGTAATTCTATAACCTTTTAAAATATTACATAATAAAAATTAAATGTGTCAACTATAAAGAAGTAAAAACTACTGTGAAGTTGCTGCAAATTCATTTGTTGCATTCAGAAAATAAAAATAATGATTAGATCTAATTGGAAAAGAACAACATAAATAATCACTGACAACATTAAGTTATATACATACAACCATCTTTATTATTAACTATCCACCTGCCATCTGTATTTATCCATATATTGTTTCTTGTCATAGTGGTAACTTATAGATCTCTAGACACTACCACAATATGAATAATAGAAACCATAAATAGAAGGAAAGCTTATGATGCATTATAAGCACATAGGGCAGGAATGATGAAGGTCTCCTTGAGTAAGAGATGGCTTCTTCTCAGTGAAACCAACACAAAACAGGAGAAGAGAGAGGAAGATAGAGAGCAAATAAAAGAAATATTGAATTCAAACTCACACAGCTGGTTAGAGGCAGAACTGGAAGTATGACTTTACGCTTCATCTCTTCAGCACTTCTGTCTCTCAGAAGATGCTGAGGACATCCTGAGAAAGTTTATTTCTATTCATGCTCTAAAACATGAACTAAACAGCAGAGTACAGTCTTGGGGTAAGTACATACATTTACTCTTGACTAAATCTGTGGTATGACCCCTCAAAATTGGACACTAACATCAAAAAACAAGTGGAAGGAATCATTTGTTACCTGATCTGTGGAAACAAACAAACACGTTTGAAACTCTCAGTGCACTGAAAAAGTTTGTGCTGTTGAGATTGCTTTTACTATGTTTGAGGCCCTAGTCTCAAATTACAGGATTAATCTTTCAGGTTTTTGTACATTCACTGACAGGTGTATTTTAACTATTATCCTTCAGCCTAAAAACATATCCAGAGGCAAGGATATGCTCATTCCAGGAGCTGTCAAACGAGAGGCTGTTCCTCAACGGTTGCAAGGAGCTACCCATAAACATACCCTTGGTGTCAGGTGGAGGTTATCATGCTGAGGCAGACTAGTAATCTGTCTAGTCAGAATATGGTTTCTCACAGTAGCCAAGCAGCAGATAATGATGAAAAAAAGTCAGGCCACATATGAGATATACCCTCACTCTGTCAGACTGGTAAAATGGTAGGTTGAGTGGAGCTCTTCAGGTTTGTCTGAGAACACTGATCTCCCTGAATTTCAGTACAACGCCTTCCTTTTGCGTCATAGATTTTAGGCTACCTGCACTCCTCAGCAATTTGTGTCCTGTTTCTGGAACCCATTAGCTGTCCTGAACTTCTCTGGGTACATTGATGTTTGCTTTTACTGTACTTCTCTGGAAATAACTTGTTCTGTCTACTTGTGGTTATATTTGTCTTTGGACATTTAAAGGATCAGCAGTTTCTTTAAGTGTCACTAAGAGGGTGATATTCTTTGAAAATAAGAAAAAAAAAGTTATGCTTAAGTGCTAATCCATAGATTTCCAGTAATAACCAACTTACTGAGTGTATATTGAATTTAATTAAGATCTGTTGTTTCTATTGTTTTGCACGGACATAAGAATCTTATAAATTGCCACGGGTTTGTACCTGGCAGGGGTTTTGGTAGTGGGAGAAGGGCTGTGGGGGTAGCTCCTTGTGAAATTTCCAGAGCCTCACCCAGTTCCAGGTAAAAGTCAGACCTGCCTCTGGCCAAGGCTAGACCAGTCAGCACCTCCCTGATCAATGTATTTAAGAGGGGAAACCTGTTGAGTGAGCATCCTTGTCTCTTCGTCTTCTTGTCATGTCTTTCATGTTGGGGAGTTTTTGTTTTGGAGAGGATTGGGTGGGTGAAGAGAGAAACCATGCCATCAGCAAGGACACAGGGTGGGGAAGAAGAGTACACAGATTTCCTTGAGTTTGAGCTGATATGGCAGAATGTTGAGTGTATGCTAAACTGAGGAGATAGACAGCAGCTGAGTGTCCAGGACACAGCAGCAGGTGGAATACCTCATGCCAGGGGAGAGGGGGACCACACAGGAGCAGAGGATGTGCATGAAGTGACCTGTGACTTTGAGGAGCACCTGTGCTGAAGCAGAGGACACGACAACCTGCACGTGGGTTCCACGCTGATGGGAGAGACTCACAAGGAGGGGAAGGATTGTCAGGGGAAGACTGTGAAGAGTCCTTTTCCCAAGGAGGAAGGATTGCCATGGACAATGAGTAATGGACAGACATCACACCACACCTCTGGCTGGATGGGTGGAAGGATGTAGCCGGGAGAAGGGGGAAAGTGTATTTAGGATCTGGTTTTATTTATTTATTTATTTCTCTCACTATCCTACTCTTATCTAATTGATAACTGGTGATGTTAAATTAAATTTACGCTTTATCTCCAAGTCTACTCTATTTTTTTTTTACTGTGACCATAAGTTGTGAAGGAACCCTCCTTGTCCTAATCCCAGCCCTTGAGCCTCTTTACTAGAATTTTCTTCCTTCGTATCCCTAAAGGGAAGGAGGCCAGGGATGAGCAAGGGCCTGAGTAGCTCTTGTTCCCAACAAGGTGAACTCAAGCTACGACATAAACGCCAATGATTTTTCCTATTGTTCTTGTACTAGATGCTCCGTTCTCCATGTTTCTGTGAAATTGTGGAAGCAATGACCATGATATTTAACTGTGCAAATTTAGCCATGATTTAAGTAGGCAGTGCTGACAGAAATGATACTGTACATCCTGTGTTTGATGGGTTTTTTTTAAGAGTTTTCCTAACGGACGGGCAGAAGGTTGTGAAATGGAGAGGCCTTCATAAATAACATAATTTTCTTTAAATCCAGATGTCTATCAATTTCAAGACCCCTGAGGCTACTGAATGTTAATAATCACTTCACAGAATCATAGAATCACAGAATGTTAGAGGTTGGCTTTGTACATTTTAATTTTTCATTATTCGCTTTAGTCATTGACGTGGAAGTGGAATAATAATTTCAGCTGGTTTTCATTTCTGTAGGTTCTTGTGAAAAGTATTTGCATCCAGGTAAAGAAAACGAGGGACAATAAACCATTTCAAAAGCACAGGAGCATAGGAACAATATAATCTGTGTGATATTTTAGTTGAAAAGCAGAAACAAACCATGTTCAGTCCATTCAAAAGACCAACAAAACCATCTTGTATGATCAAACAGGAACGCACCAAAAAACTTGAAACAAGGAATCTACAATAGTTTTGGTTTTGACTTAAAAATAAATGACTACCAACTGTTTTTCATATT